GACCCTGGGGGTGAAGACCAGCAGCTGTGGGTCTGCTAGGTGATTTTTTTCCATTTTTGTTTTCTTTGTAAAATTTATTGAGGCCAGATCCTCAGGTTGGTCTTAATTGGATTATTCATCCTCCAAAGGACAACCTGGTTAAATATGCAGATACCAGGTAGACAGAAACCTCCTGGACTTTGGTGGTGCTTGTTGTGTTTCATGGAAAGAGAAGTGTCCTGCAACCCAAGGGTAAAATGAGGCAATGAGAGAAGTGTAGTGCCAGGACCCTCTTAGTCCATAGTACAATCATCTCCAGGTTTGACTGTGCATCCACCCAAGGCTTGACTCATGGGAGGAACGTGGGCTTGGACCAAAGAGCTGGTCGTCATGTTGGTGCTGGCTTCTGTCAGGAGACACATCTGGCAAGTCCTCAAACATCTCCTCTGGTTTCCCTACCTGTAAACATGGATGATTTGGATACTTGCTGCTGTGATTCAAGAATCCCTGAAGAGTTAGTGAGGTCTCTGTGGAAGGCTCTGAGGATCTGCACTAATTTGTAAGGTTGGGGAGATGTGACTAATTGTCATAGGGGGAGAGAGGCAAGGTGGAAGGACTTTTTTGGGGTCTCCATGGTGATGCTTGCTATTCCTAGAAGAATCTCCTGTTAGGCTGGTCAGTGGCACGTAGACAAAGAAATACACAGTAGGAAAGAGGTGGAAGGAAAGACTTCAGACTTGGAACAGGCTTTAAGGCTTAGCTGGGTCAAAAGTGTCTTTCACTTCCATCAGATAAAGAAAGAGCTGGTACCTCATGTGGATTGTTGAGAGTCTGGTGTGCTGGGGCTGTGTGCCCTCCTTGGGAGGCATGGAATCTGGGTGTGGGGACCCATGTCCTCTTCCCAGGTGGCCACAGTGGCTCTCTGCTGGCCATCATGTTCAAGAGGGCAAGTCAAGTGGCAGACCAGTATACCTGAGTGACACCAGCACCTCCTATGCCTGGTCACTGAGCTAGGAGGTTGTGTCCTCCTGGAACAGCTTCAGCTTTGAAGATGTAGCAGAGGAATTCAGAGTCCAGAAGAGGACATGTTGGGATTGCATTTGCAGGTCCTTCCCCACTCTCCAGCAGCCAGGGAGGGCTCTCGGGTGCAGTTGGGGTGAGATGGGTGCTCAGAGCAGCAGCTGCAACGCTCAAGTGTGCAGAGGCTTCCCTTTCTGCTCCTTGGGGAAGGGTGGAATGGTGGGAAGGTGTCTCTGGGCACACCTCCCAGTACAGGTAGGACCTAAAGGGCAGCCCCTGACAGTGCTTTGGGGACTCCAGTGCCTTGGAGGTCCCCAGCAGTTGTGCAGCTCCTTACCCATCAGTCAGGAACTGGGATGTGTGATTGTTGTAGCCTGCCATGGCCTTTGTAGGTGACAGGACTGGGGACCTCACGGGTGCTGAGGTGGTATTGGCACATCCTCCTTTGTGCCTTCTCCATGTCAAGCAGAATTGTTGCCTTCTGAAAATGAGGTTTCATGGTGTTTGTGATCTGTGTGTTGCCCTTGTGGGAGCTCCTGGAGCTTGGAGAGTGGCTTGCTACCTCCACAGGGAGATGTGGGGGACAAGATGCTGATCCCCTTCCATTCATTCAGTCTTTCCCTTTACTCCTGTAGCCCCTTTCTCCACAGAGGTCTGGCCCTCAGGTGCTGTGTGGAGCTGCAGGCACAGCAGCTTGTCCACGAGAGACTGATTTCCTTGGATTTGTTGTCTCTTTCTCTGTGAGAAGTATTTTAATGCCTTGATAAAGTCCTAATATCCACATGGCCATAGGGGGATCTCCCCAGGTGTTCACTCTGCTCAGCAGTGACCTCAGGAGCATCAGGGAAAGCTGTGCTGGGATACAGCAAGGAAATGGGCTCAAGTTGCACCAGGGGAGGTTCAGATTAGATGTTAGAAGAAAATTCTTCACTGAAAGGATTATGAAACATTGGAACAGGCTGTGCAGGGAGGTGGTGGGTTCACCATCCCTGGAGGTGTTTAGAAGACACGTGGATGTGGTGCTGAGAGACATGGTTCAGCACTGGACTTGGCTGAGTTGGGTTTGTGGTTGGACTTGATAATCTTAAAGGTCTTTTCCAGCCATAAGGGTGTGATGACTCTAGGGCTGCTCAGGGAGAGGGACAGGGCTGTGCCACTGTCACCCTGAGATGGTTCATCTTGAACTTGAGCTCCATCGTGGACCTGTGTTCCCCTGTCACCCTGAGATGGTTCATCTTGAACTTGTTGAGCTCCATCGTGGACCTGTGTTCCTTGGGAGATGTGGCACTGCCCAGGGCTGTCAGTGTGAGCAGCTGATTACTCCTCTCAAGTTCACATTCATCAGCCAGTGGATGGAAGCAGGGCCAGCTTCTCAGCAGATCCATCAGGACTTCAGACTTGGCTGGGAGGTGTGAAGCAACCTCTGCTCACCTGGAATGACCCGGTGCCAACAGTCCTGGGTGGGATGCAGGTGGAGGAATGTCTTTGGAGCCTCTCAGAAGGACAAGCTGAGGGGCAAAGCCCCTGCTCTGCCCAGCAGGAGCCCTGCACCCTAGCAGGAAGGAAAAGAGATGGTGATCTTCTCTTTTTTTTCCTTAAAATGCCTTTTCCAGCTCTTCAGAGATGAATGTTGTCCCCCTGGCAGTGGGCGTGAAAGCTGCTTGAGACCAGCCTTCCAGTGGGAAATGTCTCCCTGCTGTCATAAAGCACCTGAGCTATCCCAAGACTGTTGCTGGTTTCCATTCTGTGGAGTTGTCCCAAAGAGGTCCTCTTCAGAGGTCTGAAATGGTTGGGGTGTTTGTGGCAGTGCCTTGCAGAGCTGCTGCTGAGGGGTGCCAGGCTCCTGCAGCTGAGCTCTGTGTTGGTCTGTGTGCTGCCTGGGGGGGTGTATGAGGTGACAGTGGCACTTGGGGCTGCCTGGCTGTGACCAGCCATCCTGGATGCTCCCGAGCCACCCCCCTCCCCAGGCACTGTTTTAAGGAACAGCAGAAGTCCTGCAGTGGGAGTAGCTCTGACTTCTCCAGCTCTTGCAGTGAGCCCCTGTCATTCTGGGGCAGGGAGGAGGTTAACAGCAGGTCCAGCAAGCAGAGTAATTACTGCTGGTTTCTTGAAGGACTTGGGAAGGAGCAGTTTTTCAGGATCTGTGCATGGTCTGGTTCTGGTTCACCCTCACCTCGTTTTACCTTGTAACAACCAACCAACTGCTGGATCACTGGTAACCTGGTGTCTGCTGCTGGAGGGTTGAGTCCAGGCTGGAGAGTGCTTGAGGCTGAGGTGCAGAACCCTCTCCAACCCTTGGTGCTGTCAGTGGAATCCCACTCGGGTTTGTGGGATCCCTCTCCATCCTTCCAAGCTGTCTGGGAACCCTTGGCTCTGTTCACATCCTTGGACAGCTCTGATGAGGAGTGTTGAGCCTTTGGATTGTTGGAGCTGGTCAGTGGCTACCATTGCTGTTCTCTCCTAGCAAATGGGTGACAAGAGAGATCATCATCATGGTTGAAGAGGACTTCTAGATATGCCCTGTCAGCACAGTGAGATTGTTTGGTACATCCTGATTTTGTCACCAGTGAAAAGGCAGGAGGACACCAGCCTTGAGGACCTGGGCCACCCATCTGATGGATGCCTTCTGTGAAGATGCTGCCATTGTCCCAGCCTCACCCATCATCTCTGACCTGAAGCAGGGTTGAAATCCACCTGCTGTGCTATTGACATAGAAATAAAGGACCATTGAGCAGTTGTAGCTTCAGCTGGACTTGAGAGGGCTCTGCCCATCCCATCTAACAGCTCACTCAGCAACTGTGGGTGTTATTCCTCCTGCCACAGCCCGTCCTGCCAACACCCTGAGGTCCTCATTGGTAAAGACAGACTGCACTTGGTCACCTTGCTTGAGAGCTCCTCTGGGCAAGATGTTCCCCTTCCCCTGTGGTGGTGTTTGGACTCAGCAGTTGGGATTATCACCCTTTTCAGGGTGGCTGCTCCATCTGAGGAGTGCAGAGGCTTCGTGGAGCTCCTGGGTAGATTTTAAGACCTTTTCATCCCAAATGGGGTGCATGGGGCTGCCTGTTCCTTGCAGGAAGGCAGCATCAGGTCACTTCTCTTTCCATCACCCTGAGAAGCAAACACACTTTGTTTAAGCCCAGAAACCATCCTTTGGGTGAAGACTGAGGCAAAAATACATGACAATGTAACTCCTCCATAACTGCCAAAGGAGATGCATTCAGACACCACCTCCTCAGCTTCCCTTTTCCTAGTGGAGGGGGGCAAATTCTGTGGTGTCTCCCAGGCAGGTGGAGCCCAGCTCTTGGGCTGAGGCAGCACTGGTGCACAGTGGTGCAGGAGTATCTCTGTGGCATCAATGGTGACCCCAGACACTCCTCTGGGGGCTCCTGGTCCCCAGGATGTCCGTCTGGGCTACAGATGCACCAGCCCCTGGTTACATTGGACTTGGGTTAACACTCCCCCAGTTATGCCAGCTCCTGGCAGCTGGGAGTGACAACCCCCAGAGCCCAGTGGGGACCCAGCAGCATAGCTGTGGGCATGGGGACCTGTTCTGTATCTCAACCAAACACGTGCCCTGGGGCTCCTTAACTGACCTCTGGGTGGGAATGATGCTGGAGAGGGCTGAGGGCTGCCTGGTCTGCAGGGCTCTGGCTCTTATCTCCCTTCTGGAATAGTCTCCCAAGGGAAATGGTAGATCCCCCCACATTGGCCAGTTTTAAGTCTCAGCTTGACAGGGTGCTGAGCCATCTCATATCAACTAGAGTAGTATCTAGAAAGGTTGGATCAGATGATCCTTGAGGTCCCTTCCAACCTGGCACTCTATGGTTCTATGATTCTCAGAGCAAGTGAACTCTTGAGCAACACAGGCACGGGCTGAGCTGTGTGGAGCTGACCAGATTTGATAAGTGGGTCCCATCCCCATCCAAACAGCAGGGAGAGCCAGTGGTGGCACTCCCCAGCTTGGCAGGGTGTTGACTGTCCAACCTCCTTCTTCTCCTTAGTCCCCACGTGGTGAAGCCCATCAGCGCTGCCGTGCAGGAGGTCTCTAGTGAGAAGAAGCAGCAGCACAGGTCCAGCCTGTCCACAGCTCTGAGCAATGGCCTGGAGAAGCTGAAGACAGTCACCACGAGCAGTGTCCAGCCTGTGGCCCCCTCCTCTCACCTGGAGAAAACGGACTCCAAGAAGTCAAAGGTAGGAACCCACCACTGAGGTGAGAGCTGCGTTTCCCACCTGCTTGAGATGTTCTAGAGTTGGTGACAGAGATGCAGAAAACTGGGGTTGGAGGAGGTGGGATGGGGCCCTGCCACAGTGTGAGGGAACCACATGTATTAATTAACCCTGACATCCTTCATAGGTCCTGCCCAGCCTCTTGCTGGCCTCCATGACCTGGTCTCTGTACCTTCTCATCCTGTTGTTCTTCTCCCACCTCTTGCTTTGATTTGGGGTTTTTACTGCACAGTGTGAGGAAATGCCAGGTTACTCACAAGGCATGAAAGGTGGAGGATGTTGACATCTGCCTGACTGAAGGTCTGAGGGGTTTTTTCTCCTGGCAGTGGCAGCAGGAAGGTGCTTCCTGGAGCCTCACTCTGGTGCCTCTGGCCTGGCTGTATTTCAAGCTCTGGTATGTTGAGGCAAGCAAGGTACCTGCATGATGGGCCTGAGGACATGATCTCATGGGGCTGCCTTCTTCCCTCTGTCTACAGCTGATGTTTGCCTCCCCAGATCAACATGCAAAGATGCTGCTGCTGGGGTTCACCTGAGTGAACTCCCCCAAGGCTCTCTGGGAGCTCCAGAGGGGTTCTTCAGCTCTTCATTCTCTTGTCTCCCCATCTTCCAGACCTGCTGCCAGAGGATTGCAAAGGGGGAAGCTCCAGAGAGGGGGAGTAGCTAATGCCAGGCCTCGTTATGCCAGGCTAATGAGCTCTGTTGTGCCCGTGCCCTTACTTCTGTTGGGGTGAAAGAAGTTTGACAGAGTCTTTGGGGAAACCCTGACTGACTGAGCAGATGACTGTGCTCTACAGTCACCTGGAGCTGTGTGGAGAGGGCTGCACTGGCCTGGGTGTCAGGGCAGTTGCTCTGTCTCCAGCACTTTTGGGTGGCTGCATGGCACGTGGGGAAAGCTGCTTCCTAAAGACACAACAAGGTGGCTGCACAATGTCTCAGGCTGCTCAGGTCAGATCTGGAAAGAAGACAGGCCTAGAAACTGTTGATTGCTTTGGCTGTTGCTGCAAAGGCTAAAGGGAGCAGTGGTTTTCAGTTGACTTGCTGAATGTTCCTCTTGGTTTCTACCACAGGATCCCACCATACTGGACCAGTCAGCCAAGTATTATCACTTGACCCACGATGAACTCATCCAGCTCCTGCTGCAGAGAGAGAAGGAGCTGAGCAAGAAGGAGGAGCACATCCATGAACTGGAGAACTACATTGACCAGCTGCTGGTGCGCATCATGGAACAGTCTCCCACGCTCCTCCAGATCCCACTGGGGGAAAGCAAGGCCAAGTAACCTCTCCCCAGAGACCAGCATCACCTGCCTAGAGCACTTCTGCAATAAACACGCTGCAAACATCCCTGCACTCCCCCCTCCTCTTTCAAGAGGGCTCCAGTGGCTTCTCTTGGCAGAGTTTAGCAGGAAAGGTTCTCTGCTGCTTCTCAGCCCAAGCTTATCCCAGCTCTGGCTCCAGGGAACTTTAGGGTGGTGGACTGTCCTCCACCCAATGGGGAGGAGCAGAGCCCACCACATGAGGCAGATGCCTCCTTAGGTTCTCAGCGTTGTGACCAAGTGGCCTCTACTCAGGCTCTCATCCTGCCAGTGCTTTAAGTGCTTCATGGACATTTGAGAGCTGGAAGCCAACCACCTCACCCGTGGCTTCATCCTGCTGTTGCTGCTCTTCTACCCACACTCTTCCACATCTCTTTTCTCTGCAGTGGTGTAGCCTGGCTGATGGGTCCTGTTAACACTGGTTGAGGACACTGGAGATGGTTCAACTCGGCAAGGGTTTGCCAGCATGGTGCTGTCCCCTGGGCCTGCTCAGCAGGGCAGCAGGGGAAGGGGCTGCTGTTGAAAGAGGATGTCACTCCAAATGAGGGGTCTCTGAAGAGCTTGCTCCAAGTTGTGCTGACCCTATGGGAGATGCTACAGAAAGGGACAGTGCTGGAGTTGGAGGCCACGAAGGATGGGAGCCAACGTCACCTTATGGCTCTATGTGGTGTCTGTTCCTTGGGTGTGCACGGAGGGCTGAGTTCCCCAGCTCAAAACTGATGTCACCACATGGGAGAAGGGCCAGTGTTGGTCTGTGCACCATCAGCACTGCAGGACATCTTCTCACACCCCCCCACCCAGCACCATCATGCCCTGGGGGGTGAATTCCTCTATGTATCAACCACAGCTGAATTTTATACTCTGTGTCACACTCCCCCTCTCCTGCACCCACAGGAGTTGCTTTCCCCTGGCAGCCCCCACCTTGTGTTGTCTTTCTCCAGGCAACAGGAAAATGCCAGGGGGACTGAAGCTCACGGACAGGGAAGGTTGCCTGGCTGCCTGGCCACCTCTATGCATGACATCCCTCTGGGCCAGGCACCCATCCAGCCTCTGCCCAAGCTCAGCAATTCCCAGATCCTTGCAGACCCCTTTATGCCAGTATTAGCACCAGGCACAGCTCAAGTTGGGCCATGTCCACTCGCCAGCCTCAGGTCTCTGGTGGCCTGGGCCAACCCTTAGGTGGTGTAGACCAGCTCTCTCAGGAGTTGGATGCTTCTTGCTGCTAAGCATTGTGTGACCATCCAAAGGCTTCCCCTGGACCTGGTTGAACAGCCATAGATGATGTTACCCTGTGGCTGATGAGCGATGCTCCTGGGCACACCAGAGCACAGTGCAGGTTTTGCTGTGGGAAGGGAGTTGGGAGGATGTTTCTCCTTCCCTCATTCTGTAGGATTTTGGCTAGAGAAGGTGCCCATGCAGGCAGAGGGCGGCAGTTGGTGTGGGACTTGCTGTCTTGACGTGTGAGGCATCTTCTCTCTCCTGTACATCTCCCAAAGTTGCTGGATTCTTTTAAAACCTTCTTGTCCTTTTCTCCTTAGTTCTTCAGTGTATGCCATGACTGAAAACCTGTGCCTTTTGCAATACAACAACAGCAGTTTCTTACCAAAAAAGGCTCCCAAATCCAATTCTCAGTTCAGTGCAACCCATCTTGGGCAGTATTCCCTTCTGTTTGCCTGCTCATCTGAACTAGGAGAGTTTCTTTTTCAAGGCAGAGCCTTCCCACCCCTGTGTTCAGGTTGCTTTTGGTCTTGGGCAGGAGGTCTGCACGGGAGCCTGAGGTGTGAAGAGATGACATTGGGGGAAGAGCAGGCTGAACATTCCAAGACAAAATACAGCTGGATACATACAGGTTTGGGTCACACTCCCAAGTCTGAGGAGGGAGAAGCAAGCAGGCTGTAGGGGTGAGAGCTGAAAAGGAGACTTGGTCTTGCTGTCATGGACAATGCTTGGCAGTGTCTAGCCTGTAGAACGTGATGTGAGGAGGAAGATTTGTTACCTGGTCACCAGCCTTTCCTTCCTGCCTGCCTTTGCACCTCATAGGAAGGAATCTGGGGTTTCACACTCCTCCACACATATCTTTGTGCTCCTCCTCCCTCTGTGTGTCTTGGGGACTTACTGGTGTAAGACGTGAGGGTCTGAGGGAAGGTGTTTCTCCTTCCAGAAAGTACTAGAAACCTCTCTTTGCCAATATAATCAAAAGATCCCATGGCCTGAGGGTTGGTCTCGTTTTCTGGGCACTTATCTCCTGTGGAGCAGCTCTCCTGCAAGTGGGCAGGGAGGAGTTGTGGGCAGCAAGAAGGCAGCCCAGCATCAGGAGAGCAGCGTGGGGTGGGGAGAAGGGGCAGGGGTGCTGATCTGTGAAGGCTCCTATCGGGCTGGCATTGGTAAGGGGGAGGTGTGGGGCTGGAATCTCATACTGGCTCTTTGCTCCCTGAAAAAAAATCTGCTTCCTGGGGCTTCTGCTGTAGCTGCTCCCCACACAAGTGCCACTGTTGGTAAGGATCTTGCTGCACCATCCCCCTGCTTTCTCCCCCTCCTCTTCCATCGTGTTTCACCGCCTCCCTAATCCCCTCTCTGCCTTAGTCAGCTCTGCCTTTTTTTTTCTTTTCTCTCCAAAGCTTGAATGTTTTGCACTTTATCTACCCAAGTGACTCTCAGAGCTCCAGCAGGTCCTAGGGGGTGTGTGGCCTTCTCAGCAATACCTGTCCCCTCCCATGTCCTGCCTTGGTGGCAGTGGAGCAGCATGGGCCCCACCACTCCTTTCCACCCAGGAGGCAGGAGCAAACAGGGCTGAAAACATCCCTGCCTTGGCTTGGCCACAGCAGAACAACTCCAAAGGTGGGAGCACAGCACGGGGGCCTTGGCACCACACACCAGGGAGGGGAAAAAAAACCCAAGTGGTGAGGACAGCCAAGGCTGCCTTGATGTTTCATGTCTGTCTGGAAGTCCAGAGGTAGCAACAAACAACAGCTTGTGTTTAGGAAAAGGCATCTTAAAGGTGCTTCTGTCTTTGTTCTCTGTTTTTCCACCCTGCTGTCCTGCAGATGTGTTTCTTTCCCCCACCAGGGTCTTTATTCTCTCCATAACAGCAAGCCAGCTTGGCCCCACCACACAGCAGCATGGAAGTAGAATTTCTTGGTTAAAACATCTAAGTTAGGAGAGAGAACTGTTTCTGAGGACCCAGATGTTTTCTCATAGCAGGGGGTTGAGAAAAAATTGAGGGGGAAATGTTCTCAAGTTGCTCATGTCCCAGATCTCCATATTTAGTGATTTCTTTGCAGAACCAGGGAGGTGAGCAGCTCTTCAGGTTGGAGTGCAGAGCAAGAGCCTCAGGTCTCTTGCTCCTTGCTCAGCTGGGCAGACAGAAGGGTTTTCATGGGCCAGTAGCATCTTTGCACTTGGGTCCCTTTTAAACCCGGCCACAAGAATTGTCCTGTGTTTTTCCTTTGCCTCCTGGTCTGTCTTTCTCTTTCCAGGCTCGGGCTGTTTCACGAGCTCTTCCACAGGGCAGTGTTGCTCACAGCCATTGCTCTGCTTTTCTTGTCATCCCACAGCTGGGCTTCTTGCTTTTAAAGAACTCTGGCCAAGTGATTTATTTTTGCCTTGACTGGCTCTTCTGGCTCTTGAGGGTCCTGAGCCAGAAGAACCTCCATGGTGTATCCTTAAACTGGAACAAACCTGAAGGGACGTGGATACTGAAGTGTCACCTTAGACTCAGCCTTTATGCCTTGTCTGGGGAGAAGCCACCGTGTGTCTTGTGGAAGAAACATGGGGTGGAAAAACATCCCAAAACCAGGAGAGATTGAGTGTTGGGGTGTTAGGAGTTGTTGATTTCCCTGTACGCAGGAAGCAGGTTCTGTGTGTTTCATGTTTTAATAGTTGCAACTGATGTTTATAAAGAGCTTGTTATTTACGTTTTAAGCACTTTAAAAAAAAATAAAATAAAAGTTGTTCAAGCTGTTCCTAGATACTTCTGATTTGTTGACAACAGCGTCTGTGCTGATAGCACTTGGACTATGAGTGACATTTCTCTGTTTATTTTCTGAAGTGGGATGAGTGTCCAACTTCTCAAACAGCTTTTCCAGCATCATGAACGGTCCCTGAGCACCCGCTGTCATGCAGAGGGTGCTGGTGCTGCAGTGTTGCCTTAAGTTCCTCTCTGAATATTCCCCCTGCCTCAGTTGGTGGGTGTTCCTGAGGGGGTGTGAGCTCCTCTGAGTGTCCTTGCAATCCTGCTGTGTCCTGAGTGAGAGTGGGAGCTTGGCTTGGGGTTGGATCTGCCTGCTGCTCCCTCACTGCTCGTTGCCGACTTCGGGGTAAAGGTTATTCCTGCATTCCTGAGGATTTGGGGAGAACTGGCAGCTGAGGGAAGGGAAGAGACCCCAGCACAGTGTGCTGGGGGCAGAGGAAAGGAAGTCTGGTGTTGCAGGGTGGATGTGGGAGAGCTCAGCCCAGGAACATGCAGCATCCACCTGCCCTGCGGGAGCACAAACCTCTGGTGTGTTTCTCCCCTCCCTTGCAGGGGACCTTGCCTGACTCAGAGCCAACCTTCTCCTCCAGCTCCTCTGCCCTAATACCACCCACCCGTGTCCCCCCTTCTGCTGTTCTCCTTCTCCAGACCCCACTGGTTTCTTCATTTCATCCCTTCAAAAAAACTCCCCTTAAGCTTCAGTGAATGGCTGCAGCTCCAACAGGAGAGTTTCCTTAGCTCTGATCCCTGTTTATTTTTCATCCAGCTGGATCACAGGCCATGAGGGGCACAACACCTGTCTGGAGGGGGGGGATCATGTTCACCCTGAGAGCCTGGATGGGCTGGGGAGGGAAATGTTTGGCATGCTGCTTCACTGGATCAGGGCACTGAACTGTGACCCTCTGGAAAACGAGCCTAAGGAAAGGAGTGGGCTGGTGTGAGCTTCCCTGGGTAGAGCAGAGGGAGACAGGAATCCATCAAAACAGGGAGAAAG